GCTGAAGCAGAAATCCTTCCTGATTTAAACACTTCATTTTTTCCCATTTTTGGAAATGATTCTTAGGGGAAAATCTGACAGACACAGGAAGCATGTTTAGTAAAACTCCTTCCTGATAAGCCCACAGGGGAGCTGGAGTTTGGTCCTTTCCCCCTCCCCAGATCTCCCCAGAGCTCACAATGACAATGCTTTGTGAACCCTAGTCTCTTAAGTAGGACGTATTTGTGGGGCACAGTGCTTGAAATTTGAATGATGCCAGAAATCCAGGATATACTTCTTGGGTAAGGCACAATGAAAAGCACAGAGGTGAAGGGCCAAAGGACCAAGGAGTACTCTCTTTTTACAGACTGCCTGTGATGCCTGGGAGCTCCACTGTGACCAGCAATGGCCTTAGTTCTTGACAAAACTGAGTATCTCTTTCAGCCTTTACTGGAACCACTCTTTACACACAGGTCTTCTTGGGTCTGACTGGCTCTTGTAATAAACAAGTAACATCTGGGGTTTGTAGCAAAAACCAATTTCTTGTTTCTTTCTTCCTATAGAAAGGAAGCAAAGTGAAGCTTTAGGCTAAGTACCAATAAACTCCATCACAACATGAATATTTCTTAAGAAAGAGAACATCTGCAAGGGTTTAGAAAGCCTCAGGATGGCAGGAAAAGCTCTAGGAATGAGGAAAGAGCAGACTGTGTACTGCCCCGGAAGGCCTCTCTGAAGGGGGAGAGGCCCTGCTCTCAGGATCTTGGTCCGATAAAGCCAACTTCCTTTCTGCTGGCTCAGTCTGAACAGAAAAGGACTTCTCTGGTGGTGCAGTGGTTAAGAATCCACCAGCCAATGCAGAGGACATGGGTTCAAGCCCTGGTCCGGGAGGATTCCACATGCCGCGGAGCAACTAAGCCCGTGCACCACAACTACTGAAGCCTGTGCACCTAGAGCCCGTGCTCCACAACGAGAAAAGCCACCACAATGAGAAGCCCACACACCGCAACAAAGAGTAGCCCCAGCTCACCGCAACTAGAGAAAGCCTGCAGGCAGCAACAAAGACCCAACGCAGCCAAAAATTAATTAATTAATTAAATTAAAAAAAAAATCTGAACAGAAGGATCTGGTTCTGGAGGACTCATAGTCTAACAATGGAGGGATGGCACAGCACCGGAAATGATTGATGGGTAATTCTCAATTATCCAGGCAACAGGTATGGAGCAGAAAGGGTGTTGAAGTTCACTCAGTAATTTTCTCCCACAGCTTCAGAAGGTATCAAATTATTTATTCTAATAATTTATAATAAACAGATTATAAATAAATTTATATTTATAAATAAATAATAATAGTTTATTATAATCATTTTACCTTCCCCACTTTTTCCCACTGGAGCTGATGGAGTCGGGCCTGGAGAAGTGGCAGGTAGAGGAATATGGTCTCAGGTTTAATATTGGCCACATAGACTGTCCAAAGGGGAAGCAAAGCCAGTAGAACTCATCACTGAAGTTTAATCTGAACCATGAGGATAAGCCATGCTTTCACATGACCCATTAAAAAGAAGCATAAGGAAGGAGGAGTAAGATTAAGAAGGGTTTTATGGCCCCGAAGAAACCTTCATCACAAAGAGCGGAACTACTCAGTATGAATCTGCATTAGGCTAGGAATGAAAGCAGATTTTATTCTTTTTTATCTTGATCCTCCTGTTTTGTTCTCCTCCATCCCTTATTCAACTCTCAAATCTCAAATATTGAATGATATTAAGGATTTATTACTAACTTTTTAAGTGATAAAGGTATTGTGATTATGTGTTTAAATAAGATCCTTTAAAGAGCTATATTAAACTGTTTGCAAAAAAAATTATATAATGTGAGAAATTTGCTTAAAATAAAAGGGAGGACAGGGGAAGAGGAGGTTTGGGATAAAATAAAACTGGCCACGAATTGATAATTGGTGAAGCTGGGTGATGGGCACATAGGGGTTCATTATAGTATTTATATACATTAATATGTGTTTGAAATTTTTAATAATAAGGATTTTTAAATCTCATTTTCTGAGAATGGTCCCAGTTAGATCTTCTCCTCCTACCTTCATACTCTTGTCTCCAAAGACTTTCTATCAGTGACTCAAAGATGAGACCTAAAATTTTCTAGCAGTGGGGATGGGTTGCTTTGAGCAATTCACACCTTGTGATAAAGGGCACAGGTTTGAAGACCCCTGAGTAGACTTAGAAGTGGTTCACAATAACATCATACATGTCTTCTCTGCAGGTATGTGACGCTGGTGGAATGTAAAATTGTACAGCCACTTTGGAAAGCATTTGGCAGTTTTTTGGAGAGTTGGGCATTTGTCTCAAATGACAGGATTTCCTTCTTTTCATGGCTGAATAATGTTCCATTGTAGTGTGTGTGTGTGTGTGTGTGTGTGTGTGTGTGTGTCACATTTTCTTTATCCATTCATCTGTTGATAGACACTTAGTTATTTCTCTGTCTTGGCTATTGTAAATAATACTGCAGTGAACATGGGGTGGAGATATCTCTTTAAGAGAGTCATTTAATTTCCTTTGGACATACACCCAGAAGTGGATTATATAGTAGTTCTATTTTTAATTTTCTGAGGAACTCCATGTTGTTTTCCACAGTAGCTGTACCGATTTACATTCCCACCAAGAGCATCACATGATGATTAGTGATGTTGAGTATCTTTTCATGTACTTACCAGCCATTTGAATATCTTCCTTGGAAAAATGTCTGTTCAAGACCTTTTCCCATTTTTTAATTGAATTTTTTTTTGCTATTGAGTTATTTCCTTATATATTTTGGATATTAACTCCTTATCAGATATGTGGTTTGCAAATATCTTCTCCCGTTCCACTGATTGCCTTTCTATCTCATTGATTGTTTCTTCTGCTGTACAAAAGCTTTTTAGTTTGATGTAATCCCACTTGTTTATTTGTGCTTTTGTTGCTTGTGCTTTGGGTGTCATATCTATAAAGTCATTGCCAAGATGGCTGTCAAGGAACTTTTTCTGTATGTTTCTATGTTTTCTTCTAGGAGTTTTATGATCTCAGGTTTTACACTTAAGTCTTTAATTCATATCAAGTTAATTATTATTATTATTTTTTTTTTTTGCGGTACGTGGGCCTCTCACTGTTGTGGCCTCTCCCGTTGTGGAGCACAGGCTCTGGACGTGCAGGCTCAGTGGCCATGGTTCATGGGCCCAGCCACTCTGCGGTATGTGGGATCTTCCTGGACCAGGGCACGAACCCGTGTCCCCTGCATTGGCAGGCGGACTCTCAACCCAACCACTGCGCCACCAGGGAAGACCCATATCAAGTTAATTTTTGTGAGTGGTATAAGATAGGGGTCCAGTTTCATTATTTTGCATGTGAATATCAAGTTTTCCCAACACCATTTGCCTCCCTTGTCAAATATTAGTTGACCATATATGCATGGGTTTATTTCTGGGCTCACATTTCTGTTGCATTGGTCTATATGTCTGTTTTTATACCAGTACCATATTGTTTTGATTACTATAGCTTTGTAATATAGTTTGAAATCAGGAAATGAGATGCACCCACCTTGCTTCTTTCTCAAGACTGCTTTGGCTCTTTGAGGTCTTTCATGGTTCCATACAAGTTTTAGGATTTTTTTTCTATTTCTATAAAAAATGCCATTGAAATCTTGATAGGGATTGCATTGACTCTATAGATAGCATGGGTAGTATAGACATTTTAACATTGCTTAACTCTTCCAATCTGTGAATATAAGATATCTTTCCATTTACTTGTCTTCTTCAGTTTCTTTCATTAATGTCTAAATCCCACTTGATTATGGTGTATGATCCTTTTAATATGCTGTTGAATTTGGTTTGCTATTGAGAAATTTTGTATTCATCAGGGGTATTGGCCTGTAGTTTTCTTTTCTTATAGTGTCCTTCTCTGGCTTTGGTACCAGAGTAATGCTGGCTTTGTAAAATGAGTTCAGGATTATTATCCCCTCCTCCCCAAAGTTCTTTTCTAAACAGATTTTCTCAAATCTGTCTTCTTTCTTTGCATCCTTTCCCCTCCATGCCCTTTTCTCTCAACCTAATGACAAGAAAGTTGAGGTTATCTAGAACAATAATCTTGGTTCGGTAAAAAGGTGCCATCTTTAATCTGAACATTGCCTCCAGGCTGATTCATTTTATTCAGCTGAAAAGAATTATTGGGCCTTGTTTGCTTAAGATCTCAATCTTGTCTCTTTTTTCCTCTTTGGTGTCTAAAAGTAATAGGCTTTTCCAGTCCTTTGATGACCCAGATTTCACGCTATTCCTTTTCATTTCTGCTTAAAATTGGCCAGTTGTTCCCCTATTTCAACTCTTTCTTTTGTTAAAGTCAGCCAACACACACTAATATTCTAATTCTAACCATTTCCCTTAGAGCTCTAGCCTCAGTAGGCACATGGTCTGTCTTCCAGTTTTACCATATTCTTTACTGTAAACATGATTGCCATATTGTCAGCCTTTTATATCCATTTCCTTACCACCCACCCACCCCCAGCTGCTAAGCCAATGCCACACATTTTAGATTTTTTTTTAAAGCAGAACCTCACTTCAGTAATGGAGTAATTAAGAGATTGGGTTCTGGAACTAGTTCAAGACCTGTCCATACTAGTTAGTAGCTAAATGACTTTAGGCAAAATACTTTCCCATTCTTAATATCAAGTTTCTTGTCTGTTATTAAAAGACGGGTATTATAAATATTAAATTAAATAATACAGGTAGAGTACTTAGCACAATTATTGGCACTTAATTAATATTTACTATATTTTAGTTACTATTATCTCCTGTCAAAATCCCAAGGATGGCTCCTGCTGGGCTTTCTTTTCTGTCCTGTGTACTACTGCCTAGAGACTGTGAGCGCCAGGGCACCCCTGCCCTCCAAGGAAAGAGAGAGGCTTTGTTGAGAGATAGGCTCCAAACGGTAGAACTGAAGCAGCACGTCTTGGATGAAATGTTAATTTAATTCTTTTTTTGATTTCTAGATTTTTCTGTTTTTAGGCAGCATGTGTTTTGTCCTAGCAGTTGGTCATTGCATTTGGGAAAGCAAGAAAGGCTACTACTTCCAGGATTTTCTGCCATGGAAAGAATATGTCTCTTCATCAGCTGTCTCTGCCGTCCTTATATTCTGGTCCTACTTCATTATTCTCAACACCGTGGTGCCTATTTCCCTCTACGTCAGGTAGGCTTCTTTGACCACTGGGGGACAAGCTGACTTCATACTTCCTACTTAATTCCCCAACTAGACTGTGAACTTTCAGAAAGCATAGATTCTGTGCTCTTTAACCCTTTACTTTGCACAGTGCCTGGTGCACAAAACACTCTGAGACATATCTAGAGACTGCATAAATGTTTTCTATATCCAGAATACCACCCTAGATACTATGTGGGTTATACAAAAGAAAATTATCCCAACCCTCAAATAGTTTATAATGTACATGACTAAATAAGACAAACAAACACATGAAATAATTAGAAAAAAATGCACACAAATTTGGTGATGCTAAAGCACAATCTAGGCAGCCCCTAGTTTATCAGTGAGACAGATTCCATTCATTTGTAAATCAGTTAATTCAGAACTCAGAATGAGTTTTCCCACAGAAACAATGTGGCAAATGGTAGATAGGTATAATTGTGACTTAAGTTCTGGTTCCCAAAAGTTGGAGAAGATGAAGGATGTTTCCTTCCCCTTTTCATGAGCACCTTGAACAAAAATTTGAAATATAGGTAAAATAAGTCTTTACTGTACTCTGATCTGCTTTTTCTATTTTCAACATTCCCTTTCACATACACACACACAAACATATTTTTTGCATCCTTCTTTTCAGGTTTCCTAAACCCTGCACTGTGGCATCCCAACCCCAAAAGCACCCAATATAACTAAATTATCTTACTAATTTAATAAATATTTATTGAACACCTACTATGTGCCAAGCACTATATTAGGTGCCAGAGAAAGAAACATGAATAATAAGACAACCCTTCCTCTAGATAAAATTACAACATAGACATGGAAACAGATACTTAAGTAAATAATTAAGGTACAATATGAAGAATGATGTAATAGAAATGTATATGTGAATGCTATGGGAACCTAGAAAAGGAATAGGTTGGTTCTGCCTGTAGAGGCTTAGGATTTACAGAAAAAAGTAATAATCAAACTGATATTTGAGAAAAGAGTAGAATTTACCAAGCAGAAAATAGGAAAAGAATATTACAAGCAGAAAGACCAGTATGTACAAAGGTTTGGAGGTTTTTAAAAGCTTGATCTGGTCATAGAACAGTGAGTAGCCTAGACTAAGGTGTTGGATGGTAATTTAGGATTAGATTCAGGAGAGCCTTGAATGCCAGGCCAAGGAGTTTGGGTTTTATCCTAAAAGCAGCAGAGATCTTTCTAAGGAAAGAAATAATATCATTAAATGTCTGGGTTTAGAGAGATTGCTATGGTGACTGGTATGGTGAAGGAAGGGAGAGGTCAAGGCTCAACACATGAGGACTAATAAAGTCAATAATGTGGGCCTGAGCACCTCTTCCCTCACCTCAAACAAAAAATCCATGTTGCCCAATGCAGTTGTCTCAGACAGGGATTACTAATGAAGCAGTCTAAACTACCACAAACTAAATATGAATGATGATAGGAAGGAAGCCACTTAAAAGTCTCCACTGTTTTAAAATGAAGATGCTTGTTAACCATAAAGAATCTATATGCATGTTATTTGGAACAGAAGTGGAATGTGACAAACACAATTGGGAAAACTCGGATAAAATGAAGAGGAGGCTATTCTAGGGAAAAGCTACCCCACAGGCAGGCTGGATCTGCCTAGAAATTTATCAGAGGGTCGTCAGCTCCTGTAAGCTGTTTCTGAGTCTCACAGATCTTTCCCTTCTGAAACAAGGTGCTATTTCAAGTCTGAAGATTCTCTCTCTTCCCCACCAATGAGTTTACATGACAGCAGCAATAACTCTCTGATTAAGCCTAGGCTACGTTTTATAAATTAGCTCTTAACTCTGGCAGGCCTTGCATTATTGCAGAATTTCAAAAATTTTGGAAGAAAGGCTGTAAAGGGAGTATGCCTCAGCAAAGTTAATCAGTATGTCTGGTAATCAAGTAAAGCCTTGAGTGATAATGGTCAAAGTCAGAATTACAATGGGTTGGCTAGTACGAAGGGTCCTTCAAGATTGTAGGTTCCCAAGGAAGATATTCTGATTTTCATTTCTACCACCGGACTGGTAGTAAGAAACCAGGATGATGAATTTGCTTGCCCTGCTTTGACCCAGGACCCTTCTTTTCTTGCTTTCTCCTTAGTGTTGAGATAATAAGATTGGGCAACAGTTTCTATATCAACTGGGATCGGAGGATGTTTTATGAACTAAAGAACACACCAGCACGGGCTTGTACCACCACCCTTAATGAGGAGCTCGGCCAGGTCAAATACGTGTTCTCTGACAAAACAGGGACCCTGACTCAGAACATCATGATTTTCAACAAGTGTTCTATTAATGGGAAATTCTATGGTACGCATATTTTTCTGCTTTCCCTGAGTCTTAGGGAAATATTACTTTGCAGATTGTTCTCAAGAATGATCTATCTCTAAATCTATATGCCTCTAAATTCACATTTACTTCTTAGTCTCACAACCTGCCCTGTTCACTAAGCAAAGCTCACCTAGCCCATTCAGTTCTAACCAAAAGCATTTATTTAGCACCTTTTAGATGCAATCCATTGTGTTGGATGTTGAAAATATGAAGATGTATAAGAATTAATCTCCATCCTCAAGGAATTCCCAATGTCTGGGCAATGTTAGTTACTCTCACATTAAATCAGATGGTGCAACCAGCATATTTCTGAAGCTGCTATTCTCCCGATTCCCCCTCAGACCAATAAACACTCTAGAAAGAAGCCATCAAAGGGTATTCAGAGTTTGATGTGTCTCCCATGCCCAGTTAGTTATTCATTTATTTCCTGCCTTAGGCATAAGCTTGTTTTTGTGATAGTGTTAAGTCCTTATATGTGTGAACATTCATGCCCACTGCACTAACTAGCTAAGGAAGGCAATCACATCTAAAAAGATAGACCACATGGGGTGTTTCTCTGGGATTATGAAAAAGCTTTGAAACTAGGAAGATGTGATAGTTGCAAAACCTTGTGAATGCACTAAATGCCCCTGAATTGTACACTTTAACATGGTTACTTGTATGTTATACGAATTTCACCTCAAAAATTTTTTAAGTTAAATTTTAAAAATAAAAAAATTAAAGTTAAAATTTTAAAAAAAGCTAGAGCACTCTAATATTTTCTATTACCCCTGCCAAACAAGTTTTCACACGTATAAACTCTGAAAGCTTATTTTTGGATGGTTGATTTGGGTGAGGATCTTAATTTTCTTACTCATTGTATGGGTAAGGATAAGGTTGAAAAGGGTCATGGGTGTTTCTACGCTTGGCATCAGAACTGTCTTCCACCCCCATTCTGTCTATGCTGTCTACTGGCCAAGAATCCTAAACATTCCAGCACTACTTTCACATATCCTCTGGGTAACTTTTCTGATTGAAAGGCTTCCGGAGGTAGGTACGAAGTCTCTCATAAATGACTAGCCTCCAGCCTCAACTCACTCACACTTAAGGAGAAGAATTGCACCCCAAGCAGCATTATTCTTACCATTGGCTTGAGGAAAGGAGCTCATAGGGCACTGAGAGCTAGGTGGCCTGAGGGGATTCGAGGAGCTTAACTGCAAGTCTAGGATGATAGAATCAGAAGGAATAAGCTTTTAAAAATCCTCCTTTAAATTACCATATGACCCAGTAATTCCATTCCAAGGTATATACCAAAAAAAAGAAAAGAAAAGAAAAAGAAAACAGAGATTCAAACAGATAGATGTATGCCAGTGTTCATTGCAGCATTATTCACCATAGACCAAAGGTAGAAACAACCCATGTGTCCATCAACAGATGAATGGGTAAACTAACGGTGGTATATCCATGTAATGGAATACTCAGACATAAAAAATAATGAAGTTCTGACACATGCTACAACATGGATGATTCTTGAAAACATTATGCTAAGTGAAATACACCAGACACAATAGGAAATATTGTATCATTCTACTTATATGAAATATCTAGAATAGGCAAATTCATAGAGACGGAAAGCAGATTAGAGGTTACCAGGGGCTGGGAATAGGGAAGAGTAAGGAGTTTTTGTTTAGGATGCTGAAAAAGTTTAGGAAATATATAATGGTGATGGTTGTACAACATTGTGAATGATGTTAATGCCACTGAATTGTTCACTAAAAATGGTTAAAATGAAAAATTTTATGTTATACATATTTTACACAATAAAAAAATGTAAACCCTTCTTTAAAACCCTTGCCAAATGTGTATTCTATTTACTTACCAACAGGTGTTGTCTATGACAAGAATGGACAGAGGGTAGAAGTCTCGGAGGTGAGTGATTACAGCGCCCTGTGAAATGCATGTGGGACCTGAGTGAGGCTGCGCCGCACAGCAGCATCTTTAACACAGATTGGGATTCCCTTAGCCCCTGAAATATTACAGCTGTTATTGGCCCCATAATATCAGAAAGTATTATATAAATGAACTCTGTTTATTTGAGGGTATTTGGGTTTGTGTTTTTAAATGAAAATAGCTTATTATAAGAAGGTGATTATATATAAATAATATATAAATTTTTTTAAAGTAAGGAATGTCTGAAGAAACCAGCAAAGGGATGAATCCTTGAGCTCATAAAAATGATCTAGGAGAGCAAATGAATAGTGGTTTAAGATACTTTTTCGGAAGACATTACATTACTTGAGAATAAATTCTAATTCTACATATGAATATTATTTGTTTTCTGAATAGCGCTATTAAAATTTCCTTTAAACACAAATTAATTAATTAAAAATGAAAACAGCTTTATTGGCTTTTTCTATTTAAAAAATTATCTGTGCTCATGATAAAAAAAAATTCAAACAATATAGAAATGTGTGAAGAAGAAAATTAAAATCATTCAGTCCCATTTAGAAAACCAGTGTATAATCTGGGAATATTTATCCTTTCAGATGTTTTTCATATGTATATATACACACATATACACCTAGGTCTAGTAGGTAGGTAGGTATGTAGGAAGGAAGGATGGATGGATGGATCGTAGCATGCATGCTACTTTCAGCCTCCTTTTAGTCACCTGACACTATATTGTGGCCCTCCTTCCGTGTCAGTGTATTTAGGTCTACATCATCATTTTGAATGGCTGTCGTAGCCAATTACATTGATGTATCTTAATTGATTTAGCCAATCCCCTATTTTTATTCTGTTGTCTTTTGCTATTATAAACAGCATTATGATAAGCATTCAGGTACATACATTTTTGTCTCCTCTTCTGAAAATTATTTCCTTAGAATAAAGTCCAGGAAGTAAAATTAGTTGGTCAAAGGGTGGCTAGATTTTTAATGCACTTAATAGTGCCATACTGCTCTCTGGATAGACTGCATCAATTTATAATCCCACCAAAAAATATGAGAATTCCTCTTTTCCCATACTGTATCCTTGTCAGTACTGGGTATTAATATTTCAATCTTTAGAAATTTAATTGTGAAAATCATATCTCATTTAATTTACCTTTCTTTGATTACTAATCAGATTGAATCATTTTATGTGCTTATTTTCCTTCTTCTTCCCAATCACTTTATTGCCCATTTATACTTCTTTTGTGAATTGCCTGTTCATATTCTTCGTCCTCTTTTTCTTATTTCAAGGGGCTCCTTATATAGTAAAAATACCAACTTTTCCTTCATCTGGCACATATGTTACAATTATTTTTTTCCATTTTTGTCTTTTGGCTTTTGTTTAAAGTTTTTTGTTTAGAAGTTTTTAATTTATGTAATTAATTCTATCAGTCTTTTTCCTTTATAGCTTCAGGATTTATGACATACTCAATAGTCCTAACCCACACAATTGTAAGAATATTTTCCTTTTCATTCTTCCTGTCTCTACCTGGTTCAATTTTACTGTTTTTTCCAGTATTGGATCTCAACTTTTGTTTATGGGTTTGATTTTAAGCATCCCTTCATAGGGCTTCTTCCATTACATTCAGGATACTACTCATCCTATCGCTTTCCTACTAGAACCAATTCCAAACCTTTAGCCACTTGACTTATGTACTAAACAGGTAACTCCAGCTCCCAACTACTGCCTCACCCTTATCCATCCAGAGAGATTGGAAATGGGGAATAAAATCAGTATTTGCCTTAAATCCTCTTCCAGGGACTTTGCTAATGACCTTGGCAATATAAACAAAGTTATAGCTTCTAGGGAGTAAATTGTTACCCTGGAGTTACCTTTCCCTTCCTCCTCCTTTTGCTACTGATCGACCATAACACATTTTCCTCTGGATCCCTGGAATCTTTGTTCTCTTGTAAGCAAACACCCACAGCCTTATCTTTTCATAAAAATGCTTTCTTCTCTCTACCTTGATTGAAAGATGACTTTCCTGGAGGATATCCCTTTTCCTCCATCTCTCGTACTCCACATACCAAAAGTCCAAAGGTATTGTCCTCGTTATCCTGTGCCACTTTTCTTTTTTTTTTTTTTGGCTGCCTTGGGTCTTCATTGCTGCGCATGGGCTTTCTCTAATTGAGGTGAGCGGGGGCTACTCTTTGTTGCAATGCGCGGGCTTCTCATTGCGGTGGCTTCTCTTGTTGCAGAGCACAGGCTCTAGGCACATGGGCTTCAGTAGTTGTGGCACGTGGGCTCAGTAGTTGTGGCTCACGGGCTCTAGAGCACAGGGTCAGTAGTTGTGGTGCACGGGCTTAGTTGCTCCGTGGCATGTGGGATCTTCCCGGACCAGGGCTTGAACCCGTGTCCCCTGCATTGGCAGGCAGATTCTTAACCACTGTGCCACCAGGGAAGCCCATCCTGTGTCACTTTTAAACTATCACTTTTTCTCCCTCATATAATCTTTCTTCCTGTGATGCTTATGACTTCTAGCTATATTCCTCTTTCTTCTTGTCGTTGACATTTACAAATCTTCTGGCTTCTCCACTTCATTCACTGAGGACCTTGAAACCTTAGCTTATATTTCCCCTCTCTACCCAATCCCTGCTATCATCTTGGGTGGTATTGGCTTATTTACGGATGATCTAGCAACATAGATGCTTTCAGATGTCTAAAAGAATATATCTTTCAAATGACTTTTTGGACTCAAAAAAATCTATATCATCCATTTCTATGTTATCATGTCACCACCCAGAAGTGCACTACTCTGAAACTAAACTCCTTTGTCATGATCTCTGGTCACAAACCTTATTTTTCCAGTTCTCTTGATACTTGATTCCTAGTATACCTGCTTTCTTACCAAAGGAAGATTTACAAACTCTCTGTTCTCCTTTTTCTCTGTCAATCCCTTGTGACTTTACTTCCTGTCCTATCTTGCCCCCCCATCTGTACCCAAGATCATAAGCATCTTCAATACCTTACTAGTTCTCCCTTTTTTTTCCCCTCTCTGATCGCCCAACAAATCTCAACCTTGAATTAACCAAGCCATCTACCATTCTCTGTTTCTAATCTCAGAATGCCAAGCACTTTTTGGGGATCACAAGCCATTACAAATTCAGAGACTCCAAACTCTTCTGGGCTTCCAGTGCCACTTGGATAATTTTTTAATCTATTTATGGTGAGCTTAATTTTCCATATTAGCTATTCCAAAATTCACCACTCTTGGGCCTTCTACCACATCCCACTCCCTTCTCCCCAGTGTGCAGTACATGATATTGTTTTCTACTTTGCTGAGAAAAATCCAAACTATCAGCTAAGTACCCTTTTCTGTACAAATATCAGAACCCACCTTTACCCCCTTTCCTTCAGTCTCAACAAAAGGTATAACTTTTTCTTTCAATACTAATCTCTTCATATATTCTGATTCCATGCCTTTCTACTTCTTCAGGAACCTCAGTCAATCCTGTATTCTCTGTTTCTTAATATCTGAAACTTATCCCATTATATGATTCTTTCCCCTCAGCTCAAATCTATCCCTTCTTTAAAAAGACAAAAAAAACCCACCACTTACTACATACATACAATGGAATATTATTCAGCAATAAAAAGAAATGAGCTATTAAGCCACGCACACACATATACACAGAAAAGGGAAGAACTTTAAATGCATATTGCTAAGTGAAAGAAGCCAATATGAAAAGGCTGTGTACTGTATGATTCTAACTGTATGATATTCTGGAAAAGGTAGTAGTTGCCAGGGGTTTGGGGAGGGGTGGAGAGAAGGATGAAGCACAGGAGATTTTTAGGGCAGTGAATCTATTCTGTGTGATACTGTCATGGTGGATTCATTACATTATGCATTTGTCAAAAACCACAGAATTGTACAAAGCAGAGTGAACTCTAGTGTAAACTATGGACTTCAGTTAATAATAATGTATCAATATTGGTTCATCAGTTGTAACAGATGTACCATACTAATGTAAGGTGAAAATAGGGGGAAATGTGGAGTGGAAAGAAGAAAGGAAATATATAGGAACTCTCTGTACTTTCTGCTCAATTTTTTTTTATGAATGTAAGACTGCTCTAAAAAATATAGTATTAAGTTAAAATAAAATAAATGTGTTAAAGTAACCCTTAGCCCATTAACCAGAGGTAACCACTACTAATAAATGTTTATATCTTATTTTATTCATTTTTTAAAGCAGTTAGAACTTTTCCTTCATCCTGCATTACGCTCTGACTCCATCAGTCAGTCCAAAATGTTCAACCATATGTATCAACCATATGTCAGACTCTGAATAAATGTTAAAGGTTCAAGGAAAACAAAGGAAATTTGTTCCCTACCTTCAGAGTTGGCAGACTAGAGGAAAAGTGTATAAGGAAATAGACAATTACAGCAGTCTTTCTAACTCCTCACCTTTCATTCATTCCTCATTCTACCCTATATAATTAGACTCTGTCCTATCATGTCCACTGAAACTAGCCAAGGTCACTAATGACTACCTTGTTGTTAAGTCCTTACCCAATTTCTCTGCAGATTTTAACACTTAAAACTCCACTTTTTATTAAAGCTCTCTTGTCCCTTGGCTTCTGTTAAGTAACTCTCTTCTTGTGTTTTCTTCCTGTATGATTGTTGTTCTCATCTTCTTGGCCATAGGTACTGATGTTCCCCCAGAGCTCTATTATTGTACCTCTTTTCCATCTTTATAGTCTCGTGTTTTTACTGACTTTAACTACTGCCTACTTACTAATGACCTCCAAATCCATATATCCAAGAACATTTTTAGCTCCCTCCCTATCCATGACCAAAGCTAAAGATATCCTATAAAAACTATCTATAGCTATGTCACAGAATCTCAAAGAGTATCCTCAATTGCCTCCTCTACCCTCCATTCTGAATTCGTTTCTTCTCATCTGATACCCCCGGTTTCCATCCTTTTGTCTAGTACCTGGATTTGCCATTCAGTCTTATTCAACTGGGTGTTTAACTTTCAATTGCAGAGTAATTCATGAATACTGCTCCTCAGAACATGCTGTACTGCAGCTCCAAGCCAGCCCTGCCTCAGTCCTGTACCCAGCCAGGTCCAGTGTTCTCAAACATTACTTGTCTGGAAGGGGAGATTAGAAACTAGCTCAGATCTCTTACCTGAGCTTCAAAACTATATATGCCTGCTTTCATTATTACCTTTATGTCCTTCAGGTATCGCCAGGTCAGTCTGTCAAAAATCTCCTCCTGCTGGGTATCCTATCTCAGTGAATGGTCTTACCATCTATCCCAATTAGGATACATAAAATTATTCTTAACTGTTTCTCTCTTTCACTTGTCATATCCATGTCATCAAATTCTGTATTTTCAAATCATACCCTTAATTTAATATTTATTGTCACTACTTTATCATTTCTCTTGTGAATTACTGAATGGCTTTCTAACTGGTCTCCTTGCTTTTCGTCTTGCTACTTCCAATATATTCTCCATGCTGCTACCAGAGGACTATATGATCATATGACTTTCAGCAGAAAATTGTTACGGTTCCCTATTGCATACAAGATGGTAATGCAGGATCTGCTTCATATCTACCTCTCCAACTTCTCTCACATCACTCACCAGCTTCTAAGTTTCAAAGAATGTACAGTACAAGAGCCCAGTTATAGAAGAGCCTCAGAGGATGCTATATAATGAGTTATCTTAAATTACTAAACCCACAAACTACCCAGAGCTCACAAGTCTGTGGTTGGCCAGGTCTAGGACTTGGCTCTGGACCTGACCATACTTCCTCACTATCATGACAAAACTCCCTCTAGATGGGTTATAGAAAAGAGCCAGTATAGCCCACTACAAACTTCCGTTTCCCCAACATAGCACCAAGCAGCGCAATTGTGTCTGTACTTGACACATTGGGGCCCAGCCCAGGTAGCGCCACAACTACAATGAACTGGTGAAATATCCTTGAGAGTTCTGATATGGGATGGAGAAATCTGTTAATAACACCGCACTCCAGGGTGGGCATAAGAGAGTCTCAGGACCAAATTGAGCCAGAAAAGAATGTTTACCCCAGGTGCCTACCAGCAGCCTACCTGACATGAAGAACGTTAGTCAACATCTAAAGGAGCCAAGCTCATAGCCAGGAAAATGGTAGTGAATATTAATATTAGGTCCACAGATTGAGGCAGGGTCAATAACCTTGAGGACTAGAGGCAGGAAGGAATCAGGTATGCTGAATCAGGTATGCAAAATGGTATAAAATTAAGTCTGTGAACAAGAAGTCTGTACTGAAGCTTCCTTGTTATACAGCCTTGCCTCTGTCTTGCAATATTCCTCTCTAGCCCCCTTGTGGGGTAAAATAGGGATAGTGCAACACAGTGATGTCATTGTACCTAGCTCCCTTCCCAGTTCCCAAAATCAGGCAGAGGACAGCCAGAGATAAGACTTTTTCCAGAAACCATTTACTAATAGGGAACAGTTACTCTCTCATGTCCTCAGGTTTGATTTATCATGGATTTGGGACTTGGAAGAATAGAGCCTGAAGATGGCCACTAATCATTCAGGATAGCTGGAGTAGAAAGAGAGCAAGAAGGGTCTGCCAAGCAGTGCTAGCTTGTCTCCTGTGTGGTGGATCTTCTCCAAGTGAATGGATGGACCAGGTCAGAGCTACAGAGGCTTAGAAACCAGCACAGGGTCTCTTTCACTTATCTTGCTTTTCTTTTCCCATCCTCCTAAGAGTTCTCATCACATTCCAGAAATTGCCCCCAGGTCGACCTTCTATAAAGTGTCAAGCTGCTGTTTGTTCTGGCTTATGTGTTCCAGAAAACAGAAAAGGTCGACTTCTCCTACAACAGACTGGCTGATCCTAAGTTTTCATTTTATGACAAGACTTTGGTGGAAGCAGTGAAAAGGGGAGATCGCTGGGTACACTTGTTTTTCCTGTCACTCTCATTGTGTCATACCGTGATACCAGAAGAGAAAGTAGAAGGTGAGAAGGGGCTTGAGGCCTCATGGACTGAGAATATGTCTTAGAGTCTAGGCTGATTGGAGGGGGGGATGGTTTGATATCGTTTGTAATGGCTTAATCTAAAGAACTTTCTAATAGGAAGAGCTGTCCAGCAATGGAACGGATAGTCAAGATAAGTAGTGGGCTCCTAGTCACTGAATATATTCAAGTAGAAAACAACGTCTTTGTCTTAAAGAAGATTCATTCATTGGATAGGGGTCAAACTTGGTGCTATCTAGCGAGCTTCGGATCTTGAGACTCTGTAATATTCTGTCACAGAGTTTATCTGATTTATTGCCAAGATCAACCCCACTACCTCTGATAAGACTTCCTGAAGGATGAGTTGAGTCATCCTCTTGTTGCTTCACAATTTAAAGGTATCCCCATATACCCTAATTTCTTTAGTAACCAAATATGACTATGTCATCCATGAATTTATCAAAATATTTTTCAGAAATTACTGATTTTTAAATTAAGAAGACTTTTTTCCTTAACAAACAAGAATTTAGGCAGCCAAGTAAATCACATCCTTCAAAGTCAATGTAGTCTTAATATAATACCACCATGAGTAACACCTTATATTTGTACATCACTTTATAATTTTACAAGTTGCTTTCATTTATATTACCTTCCACAATCTTCACAACAGCCCTCTGCAGAACAAGAAAAGTGATCCTAGTTTTATAGCAAAGGAAACTGAAGCTAAAAGAAATTAAGTGCTGTACAGCAGAAACTAACACAGCATTGTAAAGCAACTATACCCCAATTTTTAAAAAAAGACATTGTGACGACTAAAATCCTATAGCTAAGAAAGGTATAAATGGGATAAGAACCCAAATCTCATGTCTTCTGGCCCCATGAGCTCCCACCCTTCCACAAGCCTCTCCGGGTCTGACATTCCAACAAGTTGGTATTACTTGAAGCATATTTGGACTTGTCTATGTTTACTGCCTTGAGTGACAAGGTAGGAAACACACAAGAAAGTAATCTTATTATCCCATAGACACATCTTATGTCTGACTTAAAATTATACTCCCCCACCTACCTTATTCACAAGTATAAGATTCTGAAGATGTATAACTGTTTTTAAATATCAAATTAACCTTCAAAAGAGAAATAATCTAAAATATATCTCAGGTTATGGGGATTATTCTAAAAGAGGAGTTCCAGAAATGTCTTGAGTAATATCAGATTGAAAGATTGATTCAACAGAGTAAGTCATTTACCTTCCCAGGGTGAGAGTTTCAAAGGTGACAATACTCATTCATATATATATATATTTTTTTAATTGTTTACTAAACTATCAATCTCATTACCTTATAGCAGTGTTCATCAAAGTGCGGCCAGTCCTATGCAGGAGAATTTTATGTAGGACCATATGCATGAGACTCACTCAGGAGATTTGTTAAAATTCAATTTCCTGGGCCATCCTCCCAGATTTTGTGATTCTGGATTCAGTAAGTTTGGGTGGGGCCCAGGAACCTTCATTTTTAACAATCTCCCGAGCCATCTTTACCCGCTAAAGTTGGAAGGCAACTGCCTATGTTTCGTTTGTTTGTACACATGTTCCGTGTACTTCTGTAATACTAACTCAGGTCTGTGAAATGAGTTTAGAATATTGGAAAGAATGAAAAAACTGACCTGTTCTATGCAACCTGGCCTTTTAGGGCCAGGCTTGGGTGGAAATTTTGAAGAAAGATGTCCCCTCCTGGGCTCCATCTTTATGTAAGCCACTTGGAAGACAATCTCACTTCTGGGTGGACTTCATCTGCACATCTCTAGGGGCTCTGGCTGCTCTCTTCTCTCCTGCCAGGTGAGCTGACTTACCAGGCTCAGTCCCCAGATGAAGGTGCCCTGGTCACTGCTGCCAGGAACTTTGGCTTTGTGTTCCGTTCCCGCACGTCTGAGACAATCATGGTAGTCGAAATGGGGGAAACCAGAATCTACCAACTACTGGCTATTTTGGACTTCAACAGTGTGCGCAAGAGGATGTCTGTTATTGGTGGGTGCCCCTCCTAGTTGGCCCTCTCCCCTTATTTGTCTTTCATATACATTCACACGTTGACTTTCTCCTCTATCTACACACAAATGTTTTCTCCTGCCCACGTGCCATTTCACAGGCACTCTGCCTCAAATACAAATACATAGCCATTCCCACTTTCTCTCTCATAATCCTTTATATTTTCTCATATACACATATGTGAGCTTACTGCCATGTGCTAGGGCCCTTATTTAGTGATCCTGGGTAGTAGCTTGTCAGAACCCTCAAAGCCAAGATAAGAACAGAGAATAAACCCATAAAGCCTGAACTTGGAATAAGAAATGGGGGCAGACAATATAGAGGAAAGTAATACTATCTTGCTCTCAGTTAGTTTGGGCCTCAGGCCGAAGAGGAAGAAAGTCATTTTTCATCCTTGGTCCTTATTAGGTGTGGGCCTTGGTCTGGAACTTGGACTTGAGAAGCTAAATGTGATTCTGTATCAGAGTCTTCCATAGGTGATACTGAACCCATGGAAAAACTGGTTCCAAAAGGTCCTCTCTCATTCTCACCAGCCCTCACCACATCACTTATCCTGTGTGACCACTCATTGAGTGCTTAGCCCCCAAAGGTGTCAGAAACAAATGTCATGGGAACAGCCTCCTGCCATCTCTCAGTGGCCCAGACAAGTTCTTGTAACAATGGACCTATATGGTTACTTTGCTTAATTTGCTTATCCTTAGTGAGGACACCTGAAGATCGCGTAATGTTATTCTGCAAGGGTGCAGACACGATCCTCTGTCAGCTACTTCATCCATCCTGTAGATCCCTCAGAGACGTGACCATGGAACATTTAGATGTAAGTGTTTAGGTTGCAGGGGAGGGAAGCTGTGGATGGCTCTGTGTATCTGTATGTGTGTCCATATATATGTCCCCATGTCAGTGTGTTTCAGTATGGGGTACATAGGTGTCTGTGTCTCTTTAATTGATAGAAGAATAAAAACTACCTCATTCTGTGGGATTCTCACTGACCACATTGCCACCTTCTGTGTGAAGGAGTTGGGTGGCCCAGGATCCCAGGGGCATGAAGAGGATTGTGTTGTGGGAGCACTTACCACAGTCAGAACAGTTCATTCTATGATTCCTGGCTCGGGAGGTCCTGTGGTCACATCTAGAATTTGCTTCAGAATAGGGCCTGCTGGACTTCCCTGGTGGCACAGTGGTTAAGAATCCGCCTGCTAATGCAGGGGACACAGGTTCGAGCCCTGGTCTGGGAGGATCCCACATGCCGCGGAGCAACTGGGCCCGTGAGCCACAACTACTGAGCCTGTGCATCTGGAGCCTGTGCTCTGCAACAAGAGAGGCCGCGATAGTGAGAGGTCCGCGCACCGCAATGAAGAGTGGCCCCCGCTTGCCACAACTGGAGAAAGCCCTCTCACAGAAACGAAGACCCAACACAGCAAGAATAAAGTAATTAATTAATGAACTCCTATCCCCAACATCTTCTTAAAAAAAAAAAAAAGAATCCACCTGCCAATGCACAGAACACGGGTTCAAGCCCTGGTCCAGGAGGATCCCACATGCCGTGGACCAACTAAGCCTGTGCGCCACAACTACTGAGCCTGTGCTCTAGAGCCCATGAGCCACAACTACAGAGCACGCGTGCCACAACTACTGAAGCCTGCACACCCTAGAGCCCGTGCTCCGCAACAAGAGAAGCCACCGCAATGAGAAGCCCACACACCACAACGAAGAGTAGCCCCCACTCGCCGCTACTAGAGAAAGCCCGCGTGCAGCAATGAAGACCCAACGCAGTCAAAAATTAACTAATTAATTAATTGAAAGAATAGGGCCTGTTGGTATGGGAGGCTCCACCCCACCAGCCATGATGGGAAAAGACCGCTTTTAGGGTACGGAGCAGAAGGCACCAGGCCTGGGCTGTGTAGAGGACTGTTTGACACTGTTCTATGTTATTTACAGGATTAGAATCCCCATGGGTACCTACCTACCCCACCCCACTTCCACCCTCTGGGACCTGAGATATATCAGAAAGAGAGATTGGCTTCAGTCTGCTGACATGAGAAGGGAAAACCAGATTCATGCTTGTTGGGGTTTCTACCCTTAAACCTGGACATATAAAGGGTTGGGAGAATAGGACAGGGGATGTGATGGGGAAGGGGCAGATCAGAAAAATATTTTAAAGAAGAAATAGGTTGGAGGAAATGCTATTTTATTAGGGCCATTTTGGCTTGGCCCCACGTTAACTCATAGAAGTCAGAGAGCAAATGGCCAGAAGACACATGTAAAGATGTTCAGTGTCAGCCATCAGGGAAAAGCAAATCAAAAATCACAAGACACTACTTCACACCAGTAGAGTAGTTAAAATCGAAAAGATGACCAGACAACAATGAGCGCTGCCAAGGATATAGAGAAATTGTAACTTTCATACACTGCTGACAGGAATGTAAAATGATGCAGCCATTTTGTAAAACAGTCTGGCATTTCCTGAAAAAGTTAAGCATAGAGTTGTCATATGACCCAGCAATTCCACTCCTAGGTATATTCCCAAGAGAAATGAACATTTATATTCACGCAAAAACGTGTACACTAATATTTATAGCAGCATTAGTCATAATAGCACAAAAGTAGAAACAACCCAGATCCCCATCAATGGATGAATGTATAAATAAAATATGATAAATCTGTACAGTGAATATTATTCAGTCACAAAAGGGAATGACATACTTATAAATGCTACAATATGGATAAACCTTGAAAACATTATGCTAAGAGAAAGAAGCCAGTCACAAAAGGCCAATATTTTACGATTTCATTTATATAACATGTCCAGAATAGGCAAATCCGTAGAACAGAGAGTAGATTAGTGGTTACCAGGGGCTAGAAGAAAATGGAATGGAAATGACTGCTGACGGGTACAGGGTCTCTTTCGGAGGTGATGAAAATAAGGAATAAGGTAATAGTGATGGTTGCACAACTTTATGAATATATATATATTTAAAAACCGCTTAATTGTATACTTTAAAAGGGTGGATTTTATGGTAGATACATTGTATCTCAAGTTTTTGAAAAAGTCATTGAAGCGTCCCACATTGGACAACTCTTATGTCTTATACTGGTTTCCTGAGGCCACAGTTTTGCTTTTTTGGTGTGTGTGTGTGTGTGTGTGTGTGTGTGTGTGTGTGTGTGTGTGTTTATGGGCTACTCTGAAAACTTGTCTTTTAACCTTCTAGAACTCATGAATTAGGGTATCTTCTCAATGAGCATTTCCACAGACTGCCTTCAAAGAGGGGTCATAAAACTATTTCAGATCTTTTGACCTGCTTCCAACCTTAACAGATACTCATAGTGGAGCCTAAAACACTACAATCTATTAACCACTGAGGATACACCTATAATAGTCAAGTTCCAGAAACCCACTCATGCAGAAGCACAGCTCCAAGCCCTCTAAGACAGGAATCCAGCAAACAGGTCACACAAAAACAAGCAGCAGTCATAATTTGGCCCCAGGGCCCCAGTTTTCCCACCACAAGAGAAAAAAAAAACATACTAGTAAGGGATAAGTAAAAAGTAATGTTAACACAGGCTGCTAAAGTATTGTTGAATGGATTAAGAATCTGTCAGTATATTGTTAAGCTTGCCAAGTCCTCTTATCAGTATCATGCAAAATCAGTTTCTGCCATATCTCTTCCTTTTTTTTTGTAGTACACGGGCCTCCTTCTTTTTTTTTAAATGGCTGATGTTGGGGCTTCCCTGGTGGCGCAGTGGTTGAGAATCTGCCTGCCAATGCAGGGGACACGGGTTCGTGCCCTGGTCCGGGAAGATCCCACATGCCGCAGAGCAACTGGGCCCATGAACCATAACTACTGAGCCTGCGCATCTGGAGCCTGTGCTCCGCAACAAGAGGCCGCGATAGTGAGAGGCCTGTGCACCGTGATGAAGAGTGGCCCCTGCTCGCTGCAATTAGAGAAAGCCCTTGCACAGAAACGAAGACCCAACACAGCCAAAAATAAAATAAATAAATTTATAAAATGGCTGATATAATTTTAAATGGCTGAATATATTTATTTATTTATTTATTTATTTATTTATTGAGGTAAAATTGGTAGATGACATTATATAAGTTTCAGGGGTACACCATTATAATTTGATTTTTGTATACACTTCAAAGTGATCACCACTTTGTCTAGTTATCACCCATCACCATACAATTGACCGCCCTCACCTATTTCACCCACCCCCCCAACCCCTTTCCCCTCTAGTAACCACCAATCTGTTCTCTGTATCTATGAGTTTGCGTTTTGTTTGTTCATTTGTTTGTTTTTTAGATTCCACATACAAGTGAAATCGTTTGGTGTTTGGTCTTTCTTTATCTGATTTATTTCACATAGCGTAATACCCTCAAGGTCCATCCATCTCGTCACAAATGGCAAGATTTCTACTTTTTGTGGCTGTGTAGTATTCCATTCATCAATGGACATTTAGGTTGTTTACATATCTTGGCTGTTGTAAATAATGCTGCAGTGAACACAGGGATGCATGTATCTTTTTGAATTAGTGATTTCATATTCTTTGGATAAATACCCAGAAGTGGAATAGCTGGATCTGGATCATATGGTGATTCTATTTTTAATTATCAAAAAGACAAATAACAACGGTTGGAGAGGATGTGGAGAAAAGGGAACCCTCATACACTGTTGGTGGGAATATAAACTGGTACAACCACTATGGAAAACAGTATGGAGATATTTCCTTCTTAAGAAGTCTCTTGAGATCTTCTCTCAGCCTTCTTTTTTATAGCTTCATCTGCCAAGAATACAGAGGTTTAAGAGATAGCATTCTCTGCAGATACTGCCTTATATTAATTTTACCTGACAGCTAACATGAAGTACTCAGGAGTTACACAGAGAACTAAGAACAAAATATCAAGATGATAAATTCTGTTTCTCTTTGCTCTTATAATGCCAAAGTGAATTATTTTGAAGCTCACTATTAAGTTATTATGGGGACTTCCCTGGCAGTCCAGTGGTTAAGACTTCACCTTCACTGCAGAGGGCACGTGTTTGATCCCTGGCCGGGGAGCTAAGATCCCACGTGCCGTGCACAGTGCAGCATCTAAAAAAAAAAAAAACAGTGATTATGTAGAATTGTTATTCATGTGCAATTCTCAACACACAAAATCTGCTTCTAACCCTCCTTCAGTTAAATATGAATTGTGCCCTAAACTACCCACACTCTCACCTAGCTTTCCTTATAACCAAGAGTATACTTCCATAAGATAGTTAGCTATGCGTGGTTAGGATATATTGGTGGCCAAAGAGCAAAAGATGCTGACTCACCCAGAGAGCATTTCAGCAGTGGCCTCATTAACACTACTGGCAATGACTAATTAACTGAGCCACCCAGCTGTAGACAAATACACAAATTTGCTATTTGTGATGCCCATTGAATACTTGATGAACGAAGGCAGGGAGAGATGAAAATAAATAAATGTAAGCCTGTAAAAAAACAGTAACACCCTTGATTATTTGTTATAAGAATTCCTTTGTACTTTATTACTCTCTTCTTTCTCATATTATAGACATCATTATCTTCTCTTTAGAGGGTGAATCATTAGCCCAATTTTACAAGAAATAAATCTAGAAGGCATCATTCTTTATGAGGGTCACACAGCAAATTACCTAACCACAAGTGGAAGTTAGAATCTTCTGTCTCTCAGAAGTACTCTCAGCCTTTATCCCCAGCTATGCTGGCACCATCCTTAGGACGTTTGACTGAGAAAACTGAACAGGTGCTTTCTGGTTAGGCTAGGTACTAGCCCTGTGATATTAACCAATAAACACTATCTTGCAGGCAGATGGAGCCTGTGGGGTTACTCTGTCATTCCTTAACTCAGCCCTAATCCAGCCCAAGTGCACACATGTCTTCCAGGATTTTGCCAGTGATGGCCTTCGCACCCTCATGGTGGCCTACCGAGAACTGGACAATGCATTCTTCCAGGACTGGAGCAGGAAGCACAGTGAAGCCTATCTGTCTTTGGAGAATCGGGAAGATAAAATATCAATGGTCTGTGAAGAGATCGAAAAAGACCTGATGGTTAGTGTGAGGAAGCCAGGGACAGATTGGAGGCAGGATTGGGGGCAGAGGAGCAGTCAGGAGACTAAGCAAGGGCTCTGAGAATGGCTTCCAGCAAGTCTTAGGTTCAGGCTCTCTCTGGATACTAGATACTGGAATCCAAGCTGATTCAGGATATCTTGGATCTTTGAAATCCATAAATAAGGAAAGAATGTACTTGTTTTAAATTTCATCTTTCTGGTAGTGTTTCTTATCCCAAAGCTGTCCACAGAAGCTAAGAAATCTGGAAGAAATCAGGGTCTGAATAATGTACAAATTAGATGATCCAGAACTAATTGATGCAATAATCAAGACAATAATGTTCACTCATTCATTCAACATATTTATTAAGTGCCTCCTATGTGCCAGGTACTGTTTTAAGCCCTGAGCATGTAGTAGTAGGCAAAACAGACAAAAAAGTAATATATATACAGTATGTTAGGTGATGACAGTTCTATGGAAGAAAATAAAGCCAGGAAGAAAGGTAGGGAGTATCAGCATATGTGTGTGTGTTGTAGAGGGTAGAGTATAATTGCTATTTTAAATAGGGTGCTTAGTCTTCACTATGAAGGAGACATCTGAGCAGAGACCTGAAGAAGGTAGCAAACCAAGCAGATCTCTGGGGAATCAGTTTTCCAGAAAGAAGGAACAGCAAGAACAAGGACCCTGAAATAGGAGCAGACCTAATTTGTTAGTAGAACAGTAAGGCAGCTCATGTGGCTGGTACAGTGTAAGTGAGGAGACAATAAAAGGACATGAAACAGAGAAGCAGTAAGGGGTCTTGACAGGCCCGTATAAAGACTTATGGTGAGCCATGGAAAACAGTTGAAGAGTTCAACCAGAGAAGTGATGTGATAGCTTTTAAAATGATCAGTCTGGCTGCCATGTTGAGATTATACTGTAGGGGAGCAAATGCAGACCCAGGGAGACCATTTAGAAAGTAGTTGCTTTTCCAGTTTGCAAGGCAGAAATAGAGACACAGACGTAGAGAACAAACATATAGACACCAAGGGGGGGAAGGGGGGGTGGAATGAACTGGGAGATTGGGATTGACCTATTTACACTAATATGAATAAAATTGATAACTAATGAGAATCTGCTGTATAGCACAGGGAACTCCACTTCGCTGTACAGTAGAAACTAGCACAACATTGTAAAACAACTATACCCCAATAAAAAAAGAAAGAAAGAAAGTAGTTGTAATAGTACAGGTGAGAAATGATAATGGCTTGGACCAGATAGAAGTAGTAGAAGTGGTGAGAAATGGTCAAATTCTGTACACTTTTAAAAGTAGCACAAACAGAATTTGCTGATGGTTTAGATTATAGAATATGACAAAAGAAGTTAAAGATAACCCCAAGATTTTTGACCAGATTGATACAGGCTCTGCTATAAAAAGAGAAATTGCTGATACCAAATGGGAAAATTTAGAGATCCCAAAGGTCACAAATCTCCTTCCATAGTCAGTTCTGTGGTTAGTATTTCTAGTCTGTCCTTTTAGAGGCCTAGCAGAAATCAGTCAGTAGTTTGTCCGGCTGTTAGTTCCTCAGACCCAGTGCCGGTGACCGTCCCTGTGGTCAGTTGGTACTATTAGGGTATCACTGAGAGACAGCATGGTGTTGGACCAACATACTTTCAATGTAGTGTGGGAAAGGCCTTGAAAACCTTAGAGGCCCTCAGTAGGTACAAACAAATGAAGTTCACCCAAGCCCTTTTAGAGTTGAAAGAAAAACTGGAGTTGGATTTGGGGATCCCTTGTCTGGGACCCACTGCTTTTGGAGACCAAAGCCAGGAAACGTGCTATGAAGCAATGGAGAAGTGAGAGTGTGTTGAGAAACAGAGGATTTAGAAGTGGCACAAAGCTTCATGTACGACTTGGGCAAGTCTTTTCCCTCTTTGGTTCCTTATATTCTGTGTTTCTAAATTTGATTTCAGTGTGTGGTTGTAAAGCTGTCTGTTGAGGGGCAGAGTGTAGTGAGTTTTATACCATTGGGGTCCTCGTGCCAGGACACAGCCAGCTTACTAAGGAGGATGCTGAGGTGCCAGTCGGGTTGTTGGGTACCACTAAAGGCAATGAGCCTCTTCCTTTGCCTCACTCACTGATATTTCTGTTCAAAGCTGTTAGGGGCCACAGCCATAGACGACAAGCTGCAGGATGGAGTACCTGAGACCATCATCACCCTGAACAAAGCCAAAATTAAAATCTGGGTTTTAACTGGAGATAAGCAAGGTAAAGGGGAGCTCCTTGCCTGACCAATCCTCTTCCCTGTCCACCTTAGCCATTTCTTCTTTTTCTTTTTCATTTCCTTTTTTTCTTAGCCATTTATTTGACAAATACCTTATAACCCAGGTCAAGTCCTTAGAGGACACCTTCACTCCCAGTCTTGCATATAATTTGCTAAGCATATATAGTACTTTATGCCAGATACCGTATTAGGCATGGAGAACACAGAGATGAATCAGTCAGACATGGCCTCTGTCATCCAGGAACTCACAAGCTAAAAACTTTTAGGGTTGTCTTTGACTATACCCTCTCTGTTGTCCCAAAGATTTACTGTCTTACCATGTTCCACTAATTCTTCTGAAAATCCTCTTAACTATGCCACCACCCTAGTTTAGCCTTTGTCCCCTGTTGGCTGTACTTCTGCAAAAACTTCTGAACTGATCTGTCTCTTGACCTTATTAATTTCAATATAGCCTACATTAAACCATCAGTTTAACCTTCCTAAAATACTGCTTTTGTGACGTTACTCCTCTACTCAGGTACCTACAGCAACTTCACATGGTAAAGTCGGACTCCACTGTCTGGGCTTCAAGACCTTGATAATCTGTTGCTACCTACACATCCTTATCTCCATTATAATGTGACCATATCTTCATTATGTCCCGAACCAATTCCTATTCTATGCCCTCTGTTTGGATTGTTTCCCCATTTGAAATTCTTTTTCCCCCTAAACAAATCTTACTCATCCTTTAAGGCCTTGCTATAAGAAACTTTCTAAGACAATTGCAATCTCTCCTCTGAATTTTGATACTACTTGTAGCCAAGGTTGAGGACTTAATTAAAAAAAATTGTTTTCCTTAGTATGACTTTATTCCAAATTCAAGATTTCTTGATGCAAAAGAAAGACTACAACCTAAACATATCTCAGTCCCCCATAAAATCTAGCATAGAAACAGGCACAGTGCTGTTCAAGGAAATATACCCAGATTGCCGGAAGTGAATACAGACAGGAATTGCTTTAAGAAATAAGGGAAGGCTTTGTGGAGAAAGCTAAGCCAGAATGATCCTAGTTATTGATAAATAACTTGCAAGTCTGTACCAGGTAGACATTTTCCTCTGGATGTTTGAATATAGTCTCCACTGGCTCACGAAAAACACACTTTGACTGCATCCATGGCAAATATGGACATATGGGCTCTGCAGGCCACTGTTTAGTGCCTTTGTACCTGTACACTGTAAAGACCCTGTTCCAGCCAAAATGCGACCTGTGTTCCCCCTTGCCCTGCAGAGACTGCTGTGAACATTGCCTATGCCTGTAACATATTTGAGGATGAAATGGATGGGATGTTTATCGTGGAAGGCAAGGATGATGAGACTGTTCGGCAAGAGCTCAGGTACGATGGGAGAGCTGCCACAGCCTGTCCCTGGAACCAAGATTTCCCACGCATCACTTCACCCAGTATGGCTCCTACATTACCAGAAGGAACAGAGAAGAAATGGGGGAGGGAAAAACAAAAAAACCTAAAATATTCGAGAGAATTTTGTGAAGAAGCATTAGGGCTCAAGGAGTTGGAGTGTGGGGGTGGAGAAGTGTTGTATGTAGATGGTCTGGGACCTAAGGCAGTGGCAGGTCTCGGAAAGCAGTTGAGTATGAGGCCCTGGGAGGTGCTCTGCAGAGGACACATTTTCCTTCCTATGCTCTGGGGCTTCAGGTCAGACACTAACCTTTACTCTTGGCTTTCAGGTCAGCAAGGGAAAAGATGAAACCTGAGTCTCTACTGGAATCAGACCCGGTAAACAGTTACCTCACCACAAATCCCCGAATGCCCTTCAAAATACCCGAGGAGATGCCCAATGGCAACTACGGCTTGATCATCAATGGCTACAGTCTGGTGGGCAACACAGACCTACAACTCTGTTCTCTTCTTCCAAGGAACTTTTTTCCTAGGTCCAACCCACTTCAGGGAAATTTCAAGATCCTTTTGCTTTTCCATGAGTTACCCTATTCCCCCTTCCTTCAGGTGCCCTTGCCTGTCAGACACCTTTCCCCAGCCTTCTCTAGGCAAGAATAATGAGGAAAGAGAAGCCAAGGGTATAGTCCTTTCTTATCCAAATTCTTCACTACTGATGTGGCCCATCACATAGGGGAAGGGGGGAAGTGAGCAGAACCAGGTCCTCCAAAAAATCACTTGGCCTTATAACCCAGTCAATTGATTTGACCCAGTGAGAGACCCTCACTGGTTTTCCACTGGAGGCTGGGTCAGGATGCCTAGAACTGACTTGGGGGCTTGGCTGCCCTTGGGAGTGGAGCACCTGGGGAGAAGCTCTGCCTGACAGGGGAGTATGGAGGGGAAGGAGAGGGCCTAGGAAGGTTTTGTCCCAAGAGTCTTTTGGGGCAGCCTGGAATATGGGTGTGTCCTGGTGCTGCAGGCCCATGCTCTAGAAGGGAACCTGGAGTTGGAACTGCTGCGAACGGCGTGCATGTGCAAGGGAGTGATCTGCTGCCGGATGACACCCCTTCAGAAGGCCCAGGTGGTAGAGCTGGTGAAGAGGTACAAGAAGGCGGTGACACTGGCCATCGGGGATGGGGCCAATGACGTCAGCATGATCAAAGGCATGTGAGGGGTGGGGGGGCTGTAGTGCCTAGCCACGCACTTGCTCTTCCCTTCTTCCATGGGCAAAACTGATCTGGGTGGCACCGTGTTGCTGGCTCACTCTCCTGCATATCATATGTATTGTACATTTATAGCGTTTTGCAGCTTCATTCGTGTTCCTCTACACCTCAGTTCCCACTTGTTTACACATCATTACACCAGCCCACATCCACAGTCATGCACACACATTCAGATTCATGTACGTTAACACTCACACACACTCAGATACCCATGGCTCCAATAAGAACACGTGTGCATATTCACAGAACAACAGGCTGTGCAACTACAACGCCATCTTTCTGAGATGGCATCGAAGCCCACAGAAAGGACCCCTGGGCAGGAGTCGTGGTCTGTTCCTTTTTTGAAGGCTGTAGAGCTGAGCAGTGTTAGACAGACTACAGGGCTGCCCAACCAGGGAATTAGCTGTGCGGCCTGATGCAGGGATCTTTTCCTCTCTGAGGCAATATTCCCAAGAGCTTGCCCTGACTCCCCTGGCTGGAGAAGAATAGCAAACTTACTGATGCTTCGGACCAACAGAAGCAAATGGCTGAAACTGGTGCTAATTTCAGCTGAATGTTGTTAGCCTCCAGCAACTTGTGGTTCTGTGAGATATGGATAACATCTAGGGGTCCTCTAGTCCAAGCTCTCTCCCCGTACTGGAAACACTAGCAGATATTCCAGCCTCGGCTTCAATACTAGGAAGTGTTCTTGCTCTTTTCCCCACTTTCTAGAACTTCATTGGCTTTTAGAGCCTTAGAGGTTTCAATTATTCTGTTAAGCAATGTAATAGGTATATACCAGAAGATCAAAGAATTTGGCCTATATTACAACAGACTGATTAAAACTTTTAGAAACTTAAGTCTTACCTTCCATCAAGCATAATCCTTGCTTTATCCAGAAAAAGTCACCTTAAGCTTCCTGAAGAACTCGTTTCTTACTAACAAAGTATGTGCATCACGTATTCCTCCCAACAGTTGGATTTTGGCTCCTTAGATAAACTTAGGTAATTAAAAACTATGTTAGGTTGACATTCATCCTGCATCTTTAATTGATTTAAGTGGCTTCGAGAGATAACAAGGAATTTTTACCTCAGCATCTGGGCAGTAGGGAAGAGCCCAGATGGCTATAGTAGGTGCAAAACCATCAAGGACAGTTTTCTAGTACTAGCTGTACGTGGCATTCTTGAGTGGCAGCATCCGAAACAAAGTGCAGATGAAGGAGTTGTTGTCTGACTTGTGGGGGAGGGGCAATCCACTAAGGAGAAAAGACTCCATAAGTAAGTGCCACCTTGAGCTGGGCCTACCAGTGTTTTTCAAATGTAAAATAAGGGGCTTATGCAACATGATCTCAGCCTTCCTTTTACACTTCCCAGGCCGGGAGCCCAGAAGACAAGCTCTGTGGCTGAGAAGTTTCTGGGGTTTCTTTGCAGCTGCCCACATTGGAGTCGGCATCAATGGCCAGGAGGGAATGCAGGCCATGCTCAACAGCGACTACGCCTTCTCCCAGTTCCGCTATCTTCAGCGTCTACTCTTGGTCCATGGCCGCTGGTCCTATAATCGCATGTGCAAGTTTCTCAGCTACTTCTTTTACAAAAACTTTGCCTTCACTCTGGTGCACTTCTGGTATGCCTTCTACAGCGGGTTCTCTGCACAGGTAGGAAGTCAAGTGGCATTCCCCACTCTCGTCAACTGGGTCTTTTCTAATCACCCCCCACTTCAACCAGTTCAGACCCTTTTTCTCCTCTAGAGATGTGTGTATGACATGCTGTCATCTATCCATTAAACTCCTCACCCATGATGATCCCATCTCCTAACCCTACACTTAACCTTAGATTTCGAAACACTAACTTTTCTGTCCTGGCTCTGACTTGGCCTTGACTCCTACCAACAGAACTCTCCCATGAGATATTTTCATCTTTTCCATGACACAGAGACCTAGAATTTCCAAACATATTTAATGGGGGTGGGGGTGAGATTCCTGGATCTGGGAGGGTTTTTAGGGTCCAGAGTAATCTTTATGGAACAGGCTAAGTCTCAAGGGGCCTTTGGGTCTTGCCAGACAGACTGGTTCTGGCATTTACCTGTAGCCATACTTGGAAACACAGCTTCCCTTTACTTCTCCTTCCTCACCCAGACATATCACACTGCCAAACACACCCTATCTTTGCTCTAATGAATATGAAGCCTCCCCCACAGAAGTGGGGAAAGGTGACACTTGGATGTTGATGCTCTACGAGAGGTCCCTTTTCCTATGAGAAGTTTTTCAGGAGTCTCTCAAGGATTCCCAAAGAGAAACAATCTCAGGAATGATTATCTTGGGAGATCTCTACTACCTTTGTTACCTTGGGCTCCAGGGGAAACAGACCAGTCAGCAGACAATAGTAGGCTTGTCTACCCCTAGTGTCTAACAAAGCCAGTCCGGTTTGTGGGAGGTGTATGTGTATATATGTGTTACTGCTGACCTCTTGTGGTTAGTAAAGAAAGGAGCCCTCTCTTAGGCCCAGAATGAAGCACCCAGCTGGGGAAGGGTCATCGGGTCTATTCTGCTTACCAGTGTTAGAAAATGTCCAGGGTTATAGAAACTACTGAATGCCATAAAGCAGATAAAGAACCCAGAGGCTTACATGCCTGGGAGTGCAGGGCTACACCTAGCATTCCCTAGCAGCCACTCAGGGTCCTTTCTGTGTAGGGAGGAGCAGTACAGGTCATGGCGGGGTTGGTCTAAATCAGTCTTGTCAGGTTTGCCACAAACAAGTTTGATGTGGGCTTACCCCAGCCTGGGACCCAGGGACCAAACAGAGTCTGGGGTCAGCCTTCTCAGTCAGATTTCGGAAATCCAAATCCTGCTCTAGGTTAGTATGGTGATGGGTAGGTGGAGGGCAGAAGGGCTTCTCTTGGACCTGGGAGGTGGAACTGAGACTTTGGAGAAGAGAAGAGCCTAAGAAATCTCCTTGGTATTCTTCCAGACAGTTTATGATACCTGGTTTATCACTTTCTACAACCTGGTCTACACCTCCCTCCCTGTCCTGGGCTTGAGTCTGTTTGACCAGGTAAGACCAGCAGCAAGCCTCTTAGGGCTGAAGCCCCTGGGCCCTTGAAGAGTATTCCCAGGAGTGAGGAGGACAGCAATAGCCAAGCTCTACAAAGTCAAATGTAAATGGAATAGTTTATAGAGCAAGGGAGGGAGCTGATCACCTACAGAGGTATCATTGGATAAAGTAAAGAATCCTCTGCCACAGAGAATAAACATCAGTTGTAGAAATCCAGGTTTTCCTGTGTGAATTTTATCTTTGTAGAGAGAAACACAGAAATTGTGCTGCACAGTAAATCGAGTGTGTACAAAAGTGAAAGGAAATAGAGTTATTGGTGCAGGACTAGGTAAAGCAAGGGGCTTCAAGAAAGGAGCGACCCATAGAGAGATAATGAGATAAGCCAATTCAGGGAGGCCTAGGTGGGAATCCTGAAGGCCAAACATGGGAGTAGGGGTATGATGCCTTGAATCATAGGGAGTCAGCCTAGGGGATACCATTTAGCCCTCTCAGAAATTCCCTGGGCATTGAGGGTCCTGGTGCCCTACCTCTCCCTCCTCTTCTACCCAATCTCCAGTCCTGGGCACATGGAATAGAAAAGGGACCTCCAAAGAGGAATAAGATAGCTGAAAGAAGACATCATGGGATCATGGTTCCTGGTCTCCATCGGGGTAGGAAGGGAAATTCTCCGTAAAGTAGCTGACAGCCTCAGAGCAACAAGGGGGGTGAATTATGTCATTCAACAGTCCTATCCAGCTTCAATGGTCTAACTCTAGGGATCCACAACATCTCAAAACAAGCCTCCAGCTTTGTTATCCAAAGTTTCGGATTTAGCAGATAAAGATGATCCAATGTCACCCACGCAGAGAATCCCCTCACCTGAATTCCCAGTAGCTATGGGAATGGGAGCAGCATCACATCACAGAACACACATACCTCTAAGGGACTAACTTGTCTCCATTGGCTTCCCACTTTCTTCCAACTGGCTTTTGACACAAAGGATACTCAACTAAAGGAACACTGAAAACTGGGGACTCATGTCCCAATTGCCTTCCCCATCCCAAGCTCCAGTCCTCCCTTCAGCTATTCCCAATCCTAATTGCCCCCTTTCTTAACTCCGCATCTTGCCCTTCTAGCTTTCTTCCACCACATATATCCTTGCCTGGAGAGTAGGACTTTAGGAAGGGTCTGTGGTCACTGCTCTGTTCTCTGGTTCCACTTCTCAAGTAATCCATGAGGAAACTCCTAGGCAGCCTAACAGCAGACTCAGTAAGGGGAGAAGCCTCTAGTCTGTTAGAAATGGGATCTTCTATGGAGAGACCCTGAGCCTTCCTTCTTACCCTCTGGTGCTTCCAGGATGTGAATGAAACATGGAGCCTACGTTTCCCAGAGCTGTATGAGCCAGGCCAGCACAACCTCTATTTCAACAAGAAGGAATTTGTGAAGTGTTTGATGCATGGGATCTACAGTTCCTTAGTGTTGTTCTTTATCCCTATGGGGACCGTTTACAATTCAGTGCGCAGTGATGGGAAGGAAATCTCCGACTACCAGTCCTTCTCCATGATAGTGCAGACCTCCTTGCTCTGCGTGGTCACAGTGCAGGTGTGGCCAGTGGTGGGGTAAGGGGATTGGGTGGGGAGCCTGTCTGGAAGAGAGGAAGGGAAGGAGGGGGGGAAGGTGGGAAGGGAGCATCTTCCTTTACAAAATTGGAGAAGGGAGGTGGCTGACAGGTCCCAGGTTGTAGACTAATGAACATAAGAGGGTGCTTTTCAGATTGCCCTGGAGACAACCTACTGGACAATGATAAGCCACATCTTCACCTGGGGTAGCCTGGGTTTCTACTTTTGCATCTTATTCTTCCTGTACAGTGATGGCTTGTGCCTAATGTTCCCCAACATCTTCCAGTTCCTAGGTAAGATTCTGCCCAGTCTGTGGCAAGGGGCTGGGGCTGGGGGTGGTAGCGTGAACCAAGTACATTTGTTCAATAAATGTTTACTGAGCAGCTATTACTATGTGTTAGGCTCTGTCATATATATATCATATATATATATATATGATTATGACATGGTCTCAGCCCTAAAAGGACTCAAAATCTAGCTAGGTGAAATATTTTACCTCATTAGAGTCTCTAAGATATTTTTAAGCTTCTTACCTAATTTGGTCTCTACAAGCATCCTGTGAGATAGACAGGGCAAGGATTATTACACCATTTTAGAGACTGGAGGTTTTTAAAAAATGACTCAAATCTAGGTCTCCTGGTTCCCAGTCCAATGTCCTTTCTACTGTGGCATACTGCCTTCTTATCTCCCACATTAATTTCCCTCTCTCTCATCTCCACTGTGATGAGGACAAAATACAGAGTAGATGTGTAGATGTAGCTGGCTTCTACCTCTTGTCAAGCCACTCATTTTTCCCTTCCAAAACCCTCTATCGCATTTTTGTGTCCAGGCCAATGCTCTAGGATTCCTATAACCTACCCCCACCTCTCCTGCCCTGCCCGGCCTTTAGAGGGAGACAAAGGCATGTGAATTCACAGTGACTTTGGCTGCACCAAGGACCTAACCTCAGTGCAATCCTTTCACATTTATATTATTTCTCAGGAGACTAACTGCCTCCAAATCAATAACTTCTTTCTTTGGACTGAAGAGATAGACCTAAGTTCTGGCTGACAGCCCCCTTCCTCTAGGCTCTGGTTCTGCCTTTCCCTTCTGGCTCATTGTTTACAGGTGTGGCCAGGAACACTCTGAACCTGCCGCAAATGTGGCTGAGTATTGTCCTCAGTGTGGTCCTCTGTATGTTGCCTGTGATTGGGTACCAATTTCTCAAACCACTATTCTGGCCCGTCAGTGTGGACAAGGTGAGTGGAACAGGGAATCTACCCAGATATAATTCATGACCCTCTTTGCCTTTGCCTCTGTGGATAAAAACCCTGTCCCCCATGCTTTGGCTTTAGATTATTGACAGAATTCATCATTGCATGAGACATCCACTGCCACACCCAAGCCGGACCAAATGGAAACATGCAAGCTCTCAACGTTCTGCCTATGCGTTCTCCCACAAACAGGGCTTTGGGGCCCTCATCACTTCCGGCAAGACAATGAGGGCCAAAATGTCCAAGAAAAACAGCTTTCCTTTTAAAAAGTAGAGGCCTTTACGGAAGCCCTAAAGGAGTCAGTCATTGCTCTTCCTCCCTTGTATTCACACAACTTAATAAGGAGAGATTAGAGTCCCTGGAAACCAGCATAAACCTGTTCTTCCACTCTCACTCCAGGGGCTCAGCCTCTTCATTCCCTAGAAGGCTATGCCCAGGTAAGGCAAGGAAAGGTAAAGGGCCCCCAGACATCTGTCAGAGTTATAGCATTTCAAGAAAAAGCGATGTCAGGCCTCCCTCTACCAACCCTTCCAAGTTTTAATCCATACAAGCAAATGTGGAAATAATGGGTGAAGAGGGGGAAGGTGGGGAAGGGAAAAGAAAATAGGACCTAAGAATCTTAGTTTGGGCCCTATTTCCCATACCCAGAGCAACCATAAATTTTGCCAGGGCTCCCCACAAACATATTCACCCAGGTACCCTTCTCAGGTTTATCTGAGGGATTCAGGGCCTGGTTAGCAAAAGGAAGAGGCAGCTATGAAAAGTCGGTCATAAGAAGCTAAAGGAGAGTTTCTGGACCAAAGAAAGAATGGAGGTGGTTCCTGCCTTGATAGGACAGCTCAAGATTTTGCCACCTTCTCTTCTCTTTGACCCCTTTGACCCAAGAACTGATACCTTTTCAGGCCTCAGAACTGGGAGGGGGAGACTGCAGGGGATTTAAAAAAATCTTTTCTTGAGGGACATAAGCCATAATTGGTGAACATTTGTCTTCATTCCATAAAATTATTTTGAGAAGAAATTGTATGTACTTGGGAAATTGCTTCTAACAAGTTTATAGATAAGTAATAAATTGCTGATTTTCGAGTAGAGAGATTTGTATTGTCTGTTAGGGCCCCAGTGATAATAACTTAGGCCAAGCGATATCATTGGTCTATAGACCCCTTTTGAACGAGACCAATATTTCCCCCCCCCCCCCAACTACGTTTTCACTTCCATTCCAGTTTTTCCCCCTGCTCCTAAACTCTATCTTGGCCTCAGTATGACCACATCTTTTAACCATATAGCTCTATCCTCTTTGCACACCTTAAATGTTAGTTCCCAAAGCTCAGCCCTAGGTTCTCTGCTCATTTTTCTTTGTATAGTTTTCCTGAATGACAACTTCTAATCTCATGACTTTATTTACCAATAGAAAGAAGATTCTCAACTCTCTCTCTTTCCTAGATCTCTCTTCTGAGATCCAGATCCATTTATTAAACTGACTCTAAGACCCTTCACTTACTTGAATCTCAGGAAACTCACCAACCTGTATTAAACATTTTCCCCCAAAATTTCACCCCAGGATGTCACTACCATCATCCCATTCACCCAAAGCAGAATGACGGGAATCATACAATACTCTTCCTGTATAGTCTGATGTCTAATAAGTCATCAAGTAATGTAAATTCAGCAACTTCATCATGTCCTGTTTTCACTTCCCTCCATTATTACTACCATTGTCCTCATTTAGACTTTGATCATCTCTGACCTGGATTACTGCATAAAATCTCCCCTCTCATCTTCCTGGCTTTCCCCTATCTAAAGTATCACCAGTACCATTTCCAGAGTTATCTTTCTGAACTGCAAACTTGATCATGTCAAGCCCCAGCTTAGCACCCTTTAAGAATTTTGCACGCCTTCAGGATCAAGGTAAAATTTGAACATATTATTATTAGGCCCTCTCTAGTCTTGTCTTCTACTTCTCCCCCATCTGCATTCACTCCAGTCATGCTATTTCTGGTCTTCATGTGGTCAAGCATGCTCTTCTCATATCCTAAAATGCTTTCCCTCACCCCCTTTGTCATCAAGCAAATTCCTAGTCACCCTTCAAAACTCGGAATATTTGGAACTAAGTAGAGGTGATGGTTGAACAACATTGTGAATGTACTAAGTGCCCGTGAATCGTATACTTAAAAAGGGTTATGAGAATGTTTTATGTTCTGAGAATTTTACCTCAATTTTTTAAAAACTCAAATTAGGCATTGTCTCCTGCAAGAGCTTACCCTAATTCCTCAGTGTGACTTTTATATATCTGTCCTGTTTATTCAATTGCTCCCCTGTGTATACCTCTGTCAGTGACACTTATCACAGGGCATTGTAATCATTGATTTACTTGTCTATTCATAACATATAATGGGCCTTTAATAAATGTCTACTGAATAAATGAACAAATATAATGAAAGAATATTTAAATCTGCTTCTTTGACTATTTTTCTTGTTTCCCTGAATAGCACTACCACTCAGTAGCTCAAACCAAAAAACTGGAAGTCTTTCTGGACAGCTCCCTTCCATTGCTCTAATCCAATCCATTCTGTTACCAAGTTCCATATACTCTGTCTTAGAAATGTCTTCAAGTCTTTCTCTTCCTATTTGTTCCCAATCCCATTGATTTCATTGTTTCTTGCCTAGATTATGCCAACATCCTCCTCTCAGGTCTCCCTGCCTTTGATTGTGCTTTTTTCCAATCCATGATCCACACCACAGAGAGTGATTTTTCAAAAATACAAATCAGATCGTGTCATTTGCCAGTTTAAAGTCCTTTAGTGAATCATCATAGCTTTCCTGCCTTGGTGCTGCCTACCTCCCCAGCTTCATCGCCACTTTCTGCTGCACATACTAAATTATTTGCAATTCCCCAAAGGTTCCATTATCTTCAGAAACCACTGTGCCTTGGCCCTTTCTGTTCTCTCCTCTTAGAATATATTCTTTCCTTTATCTAGCTAATGTGTATCTGATCTTCAATCTCAGTGGCTTTGGTCACTTCCTCTGGGAGCCTTCACTGACACCCAATTTCCTGTCAGGTTTAGATACCTGCCAAACACTAAAACTAGTTTATGACAGTATTAGTCAAGTAAGAACCTTCTTCTCCCTCCACCCTGCTCAAACCCTGGAGAAAGAAGATTAGCAAACTGGGGCATGGGAAAGAGATAGTGGGAAATGATAGACATCTACTAAGCCCTGCAATGGCCACCTGCAATAGGGCCAAGCTGAGAGATGGGAAACGCTTTAATTTTAAAGTAAGAAGTTTAAAAAATAATTTCATTAGTGTGGACATCTTAATTATTCAAGTGAAACTTAAAGTAACAAGTACTGATTGCTACCTAAAATTGACCAGAAAATTCATGAAGTAAAAGTCTCATAAATAGGTTAAAAGAGTAGAAAACAAAATAAAATGATTTTATAGTTAAACTGACCCCACACATTCCATTCTTTCAAGGTTCCAATTACACACACACACACACACACACACACACACACACACTCCCTTTCATCACATTCATCCATATACAACAAATATTTATTGAGCATCTACCATGTCTGGGCACTGTTCTAGATGCTGCCAATACGGTGAAAGACAACAAAAAAGGTTTCTGCTACCATGAAGCTTATGTTCTAGTAGAATAGCCAATGTCAAAGTAAACAAGATCATTCAGATAATAAGTGCTATGAAGATACTGCAACAGCTGCTTTAACAGTGAGAGGCTGTGAGGGGGGAGGGGTAGCTAATTTTATATTTGGTAGTCAGAAAAGGACTTTCTGAGGAAATAACATGTGACATGAGACTTAAGTGACTAGAAGGATCTAGCTTTGCAAAAATCTAATGGAAAGACATTCCAGGCAGAATAAGTAGTGTAAAGTCCTGAAGACAGGAGCAAGCTTTGTATATAAGAAACAGAAGACTAGTGTGGACAAAACATGGTGAGCAAAGGGGAGTGTGGTTAGATAGGCCTGATGAGAAGCAGTGGAGGGCTTTAAAGCCAGTTTGAAAAGATTGGTCAGGCTATTCTACGGGCAATAGGAGTGCAAAAGTGACATCAGGGAGACTATTTAGGAGGCAGTTACAGTTGTCTAGGCATGGAATGGTGGTGGCTTAGACTAGGGTGGAAGCAGTGAAAAAATAAGTGGATGAATAGAGGATATATTTTGAAGATAAAACCAAAGGACTTTGTGGGTGGGCTACAGAAGATGCAGGTACTGGTTTATCAAATGAGCCCATTGACTTACTCAATGGTGCTAAATCCATAGATTACTGACTCTTCCCACACAGCTCCTGATGATGGGGTGGGTCTAGGTTGTCCCATATTTGTGCCAGTTGACTCCACTACTCCCAGCCACAACTGGTGAAGAGTGGATATATAATCCCAATATACCTGCTCTCTCTGGGAATTAGAATTCCAAGAAACTAAGTCAGTGATGAGAATAGTTACTAAAAGGTCATGTAGTTTCAGGAAGAGAGGCCTCCGTTTTAAAGTGGCCATGACTTGCTATAAGTATGAAGATAAGTACGCCAATGTGTCTAGTCTATAGAGAGAAGAATAAAGCAGATGTCCAAAGGGAAACAGACAAGACACTGTTTCATTCCAGGAGAGCACCCCATGAGGGGTTTTCTGAAGTTGGGTTGGTGATGAGATCTTTTCACTTGAGCTAGATGGAACAGCTGCCAATAGCAAAAACAGAGAGGTGATTCCAACTTACATAGGCTTATACTTGTTCCTCATCTACAGCTTCTCAGGAACAGGGAGAGGTCACGGGACCATTTGGCTCATCCTTAACATCTTTTTCTATAAGAAACTGTGGGGGAAATAACCATATTTACCACTGCCAGAAACAGAGAAACAAGGGAGCACTGTCCTAGCCCCAACATTTCCCTGTAATTCTAGCTCCAAATCTTCTAAGATATGTACAAAGAGTTTTGGAGAAAACTCAGCGTTTGGAGGATCCTGAGAGTCATGCTAGACTGTTCACTCTACTTTACCCCCAACCCCCAATGACACATTAATCATTAAGTCCTATAGATCAGCCCGGTATCGGTCTGCGGCCTGTTAGGAACCAGGCCGCACAGCAGGAGGTGAGTGGTGGGCAAGCGAGCAAAGCTTCATCTGCCGCTCCCCATCGCTCGCATTACCTCCTAAACCATCTTCACCCCCATCCGTGGAAAAACTGTCTTCCACGAAACTGGTCCCTGTTGCCAAAAAGGTTGGGGACCACTGCTATAGACTCTATACACTTAATCTCTCTTAGATCTATCTCCTCTTATCTAACCCCTCAGCCACTGTCCTAATTCAGACCCTCCCATTTCTCATCATAATTACCACAGTCTCCTAACTGGTCTCTTTACTTTCCTCTAATTCAATATCTACATTCCAACTAGAGTGAGATTTCTTAAGTTCAAATCTGTTCAAATACTGATAATAATGCAAAATATTTTTGCCCATAACAATGCAAATAATTCCTATTCCCAGTGATGCAAATTAATTTTGTCTGGTAGAGAATTTACATTTCTAAAAGTCAAATACTCATGTGAACCAGTCTTAGTGTCTTACTGGTTCTCTCGTTAATTAGTGAGTTTAATATAGATTTATTTTATATTTGTATAAGACTCATGATTTTACCTTTTTGAAAAATTATCCCTTAACACAAATAACAGGAAGTAACCCCCACTTGCTGAAGCCAAAAATGAGACTATATGAATGGATAGAAGGATATGTCATCAACCTAGGGCAACAATCAAGCTCGCCTCAGTAAGAAGTAGAACCAGCTGCTGGGGGCCCCAGGAAGCTGGGGAGTAGTCTCTTTGTGTCTAGACTTGACTTCTC